CAGTGTTGTAATCCTTATGAGAAATCTCTATATGGCTTTCCAAAATACTGTGCTGGTGAGCAATTAGGAAATAGATGAGCTGCATAAACAGAGCCACTAGAGGTCTGTAATTGTTCCCATGCAGTTTCCACAGAAACTGTCAGTGTCAAGGGCAACTTTGGGAGGGGACTATTCTGCCCACCATCTTCTAAATGGTCCTTTTAATAATCTGTCCAGACCTATTTGTGTAAGAAATGGACAAAAATGGAGGTTTTCCAGTGCTCTTTCCGGTTCCTATGGCAGTAGATCAAAGGCAATAACAATACAGATTTAATTAATTCGGGAGAAGGAATTCCCACTTGCAGCGGTCTTAACCCAGCAGTGGAGGAAAGCTGTCAATCATAAGGGCAAAGGTGCTGAAACTGGCATGGATTTGTGGTTTGTTTTGGTTTGGTTTGGTTTTTCTTTCACACTAAGCAGTTCAGGGAGAGAGTGAAGCAGTAAATGTCACCTGAGCTTCAGCAAAAGTAGGGGTTCACATATAATCAGTTTATGTTTAACATGTATATAAACATATAACAATTTATAACTGTGCCTGAACCGTCCATCTACAGGACATGGACAATAGCTGGGCCTGTCAAAAGAAACCTCTCTGAGGGAATTGTATTTCCTTGTCCAGGTCAAGTCTGGGGAACATCCCTATCAGCCTCACTCCAAATGCCTGACTCCAAATCTGCACACCAAAGAGCAGCAGCATTCTTAAAGGCAGCAAAACCTGACAAACAAACAGCTGGGGAGGAACTCATCTCCACCTTCCAGCTTGGTCTAAGTCATAGGACCAGAAGGGATTCAATTATTAGAAAGAACCGAGAATTACTGACTTAGCCAAAGAGGAGTGAAGGCAAAAATCCTTGCACAGAGCTAAGATCAAAAAAATGAAGACAGGCCTTTTGGGATGCTGAGCAGGGAGCTGGCCACCAGGGCACTTGGGCTTTCTAGAATGCCTTAAAGATCAGAAGGAAAGATGAGAGAGGAAGTTTGTTGATTTCACTTGAGCTAGAAATTACCACGATAGTAATCTGATGCAAATTTACAATGGGAGATTTTAAGGAGGCCAGCAGAGAATGGAAAAGTAGAAGAATGACTACTTTCCCATCAAAAATATATTGTCTGAGTGAGAATAATATATGAGAAAGGACCACACAGGAAGAAAAATATTGTAGAATTACACTGATGTTAAATGAATTAATTTGTTTGAATAATATCTTCAAAAATACATTTTTTTCTTAAACAGAGGTTCTAAAATAAACTTTCACTCATACCTGTGACAAAGCTCCTGTTGCCTTCTCCTTTAAACAACTGCAGAATATCAAAGGTGAAGTCAGTTCAAGAATCTGTTATCCCTTTGCCCTGTGTGCTCTCACTTTCCTTTCCATATGCAGCTCATCTAACCTGGCCTGAGTTTCTTTCTGAACATGAGGGAAGTGAACCACATGACCCTTTGTGTGATTTCTGAAGCACTGGCACAGCACCTGCTGCAGCTGATTTTAGACAAAACAGGTTGAACCCTGTGGCCAGTGTGTAGTTTGGTGCAAGGTGCCAAATACTTCAAGGGTTGAATCTGCCTACCTAAAATTGCAATGAGGACATTTTAGCCTTGGGCAAAACAGGGATAGTGGCTTATACCCAACTAGGACAATCTAGTGATTTGTCTACCACTCTGTCAAACAGGCATTAATTAGAAAAATCAGATAAAGACTGACTTAGATCCAATGGCTTGGTCTGCTGAAGATACCTTAACACTTTTTGCAGAAGTCCTCTGCAAAAATTATTTAGAAATTGTTTCCTACCTGCAGCCTGCTTCATCTTTGAACTCCAGATGACATCATCCCAATGGCACAAAACTTTAGGGCTCTGACATACAAGAAAGGATCTTTACATTACAACATCTTACAGCCAGTCTTGTGGGTTTACCTGGAATCCTGCATGTGATTCCCAGCACTACACACAGTAAACATTTTTACTACACAGAGACCTCTGTGTGTCCATTCATTCAGACCCACCATCTGTGCCCACACTGGGGCTCTCCCCAACCCGTGTGTGTGTGTGTGTGTGTGTGGTTCTCATCATGTGTGTTTTCACTGAAAGAGTAAAGTGAGGAAGGATGGGCTTTTCCATTTCTAGGAAGGCACTGAGCCATCATTTTGTACATGAATCTGGAAAAAGGAAGTGCTCCCATTTGGAGGAGAATTTAGGTGCTGAGAAGAGAATGACCTCTTCATGCTGGCACAATTTAATTTATCTTTTTACTGGATATTGCCCCATTAAACTACTTGCAGCATGGCCAAGGTTAGGTTATATAGGGCCTAATTGCACTCTGTTATGAAACTTGGTAGAAAAACCCTTCACACTTCTGGACTTTTTTTTTTTTTTTCAGGTTTGTCAGTTATCATATGTCCTTATGTTACCTTGGGAGGTAAATTTTTCAAGGTCTTTTGCAGAGTTCAGTCCCTTTGGTAAAACATTAGAAGAGTTTTCTCACACCCAAGGGGGTTAGACCCCAGACAGAAGTGGTCAGTCTGCTCTTCCATTAAGCACTCCCTTGTGCTGCAGGGGTTGGCAGAAGACTTGTCAGAGATCATAACAGAGTCACTGGGTCACACAGAGCCAGTGTGCTTGAGAGGACAGCACTAAAGCTGCCATCAGGCAGGACCCATATGCTATAACAAAGGGAAATGGGGCAAGTCTCAGCCTCAAGGCATTTCCAGAAGGAGGTGAGGTGATGCCTGCTGGTGGCATTGCTTTTGATATAGGAGGTCTTAAAATTACTTATTTTGCAAGTGTAATTTTTGATATTTTATGGCCAACAGATTCTTTTGGCATAGAGGAGCTTCATCATTGCACTTTATATGTTATTAAAATTTGCCACTACAGATCTAGGGAGAGTCCTTGGGCTATTTGCTTTATAGCTGGAGTTTGGAGCCAAAATACTTACTGTAACCTGAGATTTAAAGGTTTTGCATGTTATTAAGAAAGCAAGCTGCAGCCTGCCCTCTTCCCCATCCTTTCTTCAGGGTGTCTAAAGCACTGCAAATACGACACATGCACACTGCCTTTTAGCTGACTTCACAAAAAAGTATCTACAATAGTGTAATTTTTATGTCAGTAACACATGTGAAAAGAATGTGTGAAGTCCATGAAAGTATGTAAAGACTCATGCTAGTTCTGTGTTTAATGATAGTGAGATATGAGGCTGCTGTATCACACTGAGGTGTGCGAAGTTCTGGCTCTCTGAGCCAGCCTTTAAGAAGAAGGCTGAAAAGCATTTGCCTCCTCTGTGCCATTTGTGTTGTCAGGAATGTGCTAAAACCAAATCCCTGTATACTGGTAGTGAGGACTGGAAAAGGCCCAGTCTCCACATGAGTAAGATGAAGGCATTCTGCTTTTTGTGATCCCTGATAACGAGGAAGTCTGTCTGGATGGCTTGGATTTTTCTCAGGGACATAATTGGGAAGAGCCAGCTGATACCTACATGTAAACTTCCATGTTTGTTAAAACATTGGGAATTCTTTCAATTTCCCTTAAATTTGAATTTTCGGGGGAGGAAAATAATAAAAAGGTCCTGATATTATTTTATTTTTAATGCGTAAGTGCAGTGTTTCAAGAAGTATTTTTCCCTGTAAGATAGTGATTAACTCTCAGGTAGAGAGTGCTTCAGCTTAGAATTCTTTTCTTGAAATCAGTGCTTTTCCTCTGCCCTTACCATCCTCCTTTGCAACCCCAGAAAATGAAGGCTGGTACATTCCTGAAGGCTGCTCCAAAATAAATATCCAGCAATTGCCAACTTCTGCCTCAGCTGCATTAATGAACCCCTTTAAACCACCAATGCAATGCAGTAGCTGCTATTCACAATGATATCCAGCCACATTCTGGGCTCCAGATAAGGGGTTGGCTGTGAAGCGGGCAAGTTTCCAAAGCTGGGATGGCATTCCTGTTACCACTTTCCATGCCAGCTGTCTCAAGGAGCTGTTACAAGAGGTGCTAGTCAGATGCTTGAGAACACTTGGTCACTCCTTCCCCTGCCATGCTCTGGACTTTGCTCCCGGGGAGGAAAATGCTGTTAACTCATCCCGGTGCTTCCTGTTTTCTTGGCCGATTCTCCTGTAGCTTGCTCTGCTGATTCTCAGGTCCCAGTGCACTGGGATTATGGCTGTGTACAAAATAAAGGTGGAGAAATGAGTGGCTGCATCACAAAAGCGTATGACTGGACATTTTGTTTTGCAAGGCTGGTGAGACAATATGAATCATACTGTTCCTCCCACACAGAAATCCCCTTCTGCTATAGTTATGCCTTGCATACCTAACAGCTTAGTAACTGGCATAAAGAAACTTTTCTGCAAAGTTGGGGAAAACCGTTTCTCCCAAGTGGCCAAATGCCACCCTCCTCAGCTTTGGTCTGATACTGACATCTCAGATATTGACACTGTGATAATCATTATGAGAAGTGCCAGTGGAAAATGATTGGATGCAAAAAGTGCAATCACCTCTCCCTTAGACAGCCAAGAATAACTGGAATGTCCTTTAATATTTTGGTTACTCCACATGCTTACATGTGAGCCTTGCTGGGAGAAGAGCAGCAGCATAACAAAAGTAGAAGAGCTTGTGGGATTATTCAAACCCCCCTGCTGCTCCTTATGGGCTTGTTCCTTCAGAGGGGCTCAGCACAGCTCTACTGTGGCCCCTTGCCTGACATTCACATCTATCTTTTCAAGTGAGTGAAGGCTTTCTGAAGCAGCCCAGGCGCTGGGAGGCTTAGAGTCCTCAAGTCCCCAGAGTGGGTTCAAGGCCTGCAAAACGAGCACCATTTTGTTTATTGCCTGGTGGAGGCTTTCCAGAGCCCACATGCCATTGGTCACACGTGAAACTCTGGATAGGTCATCACTTTGGGCAGGGAATGGGACAGTGGAACTGAGAAGTCAGTGGTGTCAGATGGCTGGGCAGCCAGGAGCTGCCAGCCACTTTGTCCTTGACTCATGCATGTGTTACAATGTGCAGCAGAAAATTCAGGTGCTGATCAACAGTGCAATATGGGATAAAGAAGGAAATTCTGGCAACATATGGGAGAGATTTAGGCTGTGAAGAGGTGGGAAGTCCTGTCTCAGGAAGATGTCTTGTATGCAAGCTACTGCAATGGTAACTGTCACCCTTTGTCTTGTGTGTCTGGGAATACAGGGACTGTGAGTCCTGTAGTTCAAGTTTACAAGTTTAAAACATTGAATTCAATGCATTTTCATAGGGCAAGTCTTGCCCAGCAACTTCCAGGATGGTTTCACTGGGCCCATAGCACTCATGAAGAACAGAGGAGTATTTCCAGCAGCTCCTTGAAGGCAGGTAAAGCAGCAGGGTTGGTGTGGCCACAGCCTCAGGTACTGAACATGCTGGGACCACATGGGGATGGGTGGGAAGTGTGGCTGGTGGGGATGCTGGACATGTCTGTCCAGACTGTGAATTTTCTTTCCCTGACCCCTGTACCTGCTCTGCTCAGCCATTGCCATCCTGGCTCGCTGTCCCTGAGCCGCAGGCCCCGCTGGCAGCCCCCATCCCGCCCTGATGGTGCCCGCCTCCCTGGTGCCCAGCACTCCCAGCAGCACGGCCCAGCTGCGCCGTTTGTTTTGGAGGCCCAGGCAATTCCCTCCGCCCTCACGCCCCTCTGTTTACAGTATCGCAGCCGCCTCCGCCTGCGATAGCGCGGTGGCCGCCAGGTGACCCTGGCTTAGTGTAAATATTTTGCTTTCACTGGAAGGAAATGTGACATACATTTGGGGTGGAAGTTATCCAGAGGCTGTGGCCTCGGGAGCTGAACTGCTGGGAAGCCCCTGCCACAGTGCTCTCAAGGTACCAGCACTATCAAACACATTAGGACACGGGGACTGTGCACCAGCAAAGCGCCAAAGATTTGCTTCTCGGTGACACGGCAAGGGCAGCCGGGGGTCAGCGAGGAGCGAGGGTGCCCATGGTGCCCAGGCACAGCACAGTAAGGGACAGCATGGCCCGTCTGCCCTGGCACACCTCCCCCTGCACAGCTGAGCCCTGGTGTGAAAGAAGGTCACGGCAGAGAGACATGAGCAGAGGCGCTTTCCAAACATCCATGTGAGTTTGGAGCAAAAATGCTGTTAAAAAAAAAAAAAGAAAAAAAAAGAGTACATGATGATTTGTGTTTCTTAAACCATGTAAGCAGCCATGGGTAATGTGGCAGGTCCCAGTCTCCTTCTAATGGGAATTGTTCTGCACTGAGGACAGTCTGGTTGAAGGCCTGGATGGGTTTTAAAAGCTGTCTCCAGCTGAGGGGTGTTTGCTGTTGGTGACATTTGTGATTGCCTGCCTCAACCTGTCTGTAGATATGCTTAAAAAGGAATAGTAATACAATGCTTAAAGGCATATTGTACCAAGTAGCTAGTGTCACATTTTACATCTGATAAATATTAATTAATGGTATTTCAAAGTACAAAAGGTGCTGGGAACTCATGCATTGGCTGGAGAGAAATGGATCTCCCATATTTAACCGTGAGCTTGCTGAATTTGCCTTGGCATAGCTGGTTACCCTGGAGTGATGTCTGCTTGTTTGGCATCCCTCCCTGTCATACCGAGGTGCTGACTTCCCACAGGACAGCCCAGCAGCCTCCCCAAGGAATCAAAGAGCCAGATTATCCAGAATGGGCAAGCTGTGCCAAGTCAAGGGTTTGGTTTTGGTAAGTATCCAGAAATTAAGGCTCTAACTTGTTGAGGTTTCAGGCCTTGCCTAAGCCCTGTCCTTATCAACTGCTGTGAGCTTAATTACTCACCTTTGTTTCTCCAGACAGTCAAATGTGTTATGGAGAAAATGCATGTGTGTTCGATTCACTTGTGAAAGGCTTGACAGTAGATAATTTAAAATCAAATTACAGTCTGCCATTAAAACAAACCCAGAAAGTTCCATTTCACAGGACAATGCTCCTCATGCACTAAAATAAAAGCTGATACAACTGCATGGTAATGCTCAGCCGGATCACAAAACTGTAGGGAGGTTAATTGACTTTTTAGGAAGATCCCCAGTGAATATTAAACAGACCCTGACATTCCAAGCCCCCCTGCCTGAGATCAGCACTTCACTGCCCAATACGTGCAGAGATATTTAAACAGCTCTTGCAGCAAACACTGACACCATCGTACTGAATCCTGCCTGGGAGACCTTAGAAATGAGTCATAGATGGGAATTATCCTGTTCCTTAGAACACGCTGCCAGTGTGCTTAGCTGAACAGCAGTGGAGAAAGAAGGAAATGAAACAAAAATTTTCGGAATTGGAAATTTTCATTGCATAATTTCATAATTAGAAATGAACACATACATATACACACGTGTAGGTATGCATACAACTACGTATACATGCAGGCCAAAGAAAGCACTAGGAAGCTGTTGCAACCAAAGCATGTGCCACACAATCCTAAGTAGAACGTTCTGTTCATAGTAGAACATAATGTAGCTCATAGAAGCTCAAGGATGAAGCAATAAAAGTTGTGTACTAGCCAGTTCAAGGTTACACAAAAACATTAAGCTCCCTCTTGTTTAGAAGACACTGAAATGTGATACATGAACAAAAAAAGAAGTAATGTCTTTAAATCTTAAAAAAGAATAGCTGTTTTACTCTGTAGGGATCTATAGGATCCTCCACTCTGAGGAAGAAAAAAGACCTTTTTCCATCTAGAAGGAGGGATTCATTTAAGTTGAAGCAGTATACATGTGGTATTCCTCATGTGGTAAATTACGTGTAGGCTGGCAAATCTTTGGGCCACTCACCATCTGTGTTTAACATTCAGAGCTGTGCTGTGGCACTGAGCACCGGGGCTGTGGGACATCATGGGGGCCACACCTTAGTGCGGGTCAGGCTGCACTTACATCTCTATATTCAGACTTAGAACTGAAAATCATGCCAAAGCTCTTGCCTCAGGACTTCAGTTGACCTGCTAGCTCTTTGAAATCACCACCAGCAGCAGGTTAGCCACCACCAGCACCCTGCAAGGCATTTCTGGGCTTGTGTGAAGCAGGAGAGTTATGGAGAGGGACTTTCGGCTGCCACAGCCCTCGGGTGTGCTGTGCTATGTAGTGCACATGCTGTGAGCTGCTGCTTCTCCTGAGAGCAGCCAGAAGGAAGGGGTTCTGGCATCACAAGGTTGAGAGACAATCCATGCAAGGCCAGCAAGATGCCAGTCCATGAACTCACTGCCACTATGGATATGAAATGCTGGGAAAGGGCAAAGGAGCTCCCAGCCATGACAGGGAGGCTCAGTTCCCTGCCTGGACGATGACAGACCAGTCTCCCATCACAGACTCTGTTTAACAACAGATTAACTGAATTCTTTTGAGCTTTTCTTGTGCTGAAAGGACGTTGCCCAAAGCAGCTGAAAAGACAGCCCACGTATCCAATACTAGCAGCTCTTTTTGATCCGCTTTTTCTTTGACATTGCCTGGGGCACCCTCCCCCCACAGCCCTGCAATGTAAATTCACCTTTTAATGCAGTTGGGTTGGATTTGTGAGGAGTGTAAAGTGCCAGCCACCTAAAAGGCCAGTCAGAAGAATTGCCATCTAAAAGACCAGCTGGCAGAGAAGTGATTTAACCTGACAAAAAAAAGGTGTTGAGACTAGTTTGATTATTTTTGGGGTGGAGGATGAGGGCAGGTGGTTGTGTTGGCACAAAGAAAGAGCTCTGGACCCAGCAGAAACAGCTCATTCAGCCAAGCACCAAAACTTGTGCCAGCTCTAGATAAACTCTGCTACTCCTTTTGCAGTTTTTATCCAGACTTGTCTCAGTCAGCACCAGGAACTGCCAACGGGTGCATCTCATCAATAAAAACAGGCTAGAAGAGACTTGTGGTATGTTTCCTGTGAGTTTGCCTTGAACCAGGACGTATCTTGCACCCAGAGCTCCACTTAGCTGTGGCAGTTCCACAAGCTGGGTTGGTATTTACACCATCCTGTGTGGAAACTGAGGCAGCCATCAGCCTGAGCAGCAGGAGGAAACCTCTCCCCTGTTCACAAGTGCTCATTTCTGGGGTTTTGACTCATTACAGAGGGTGCAGTGGGGTGTGTGGGGAATGTGCTGTCCTGCCAATTGCAGCTCTGGATGCAGCTTTCAGGGGTCAGCCCATCGCTATGTAAACATCTGTGATGAAGCACATGGTTCATTTTCCAAGCACAAAGCTATCCCATAAAGAGATGTATATTTCAAGAAGAGAAGAAAAGAGAAGATACATGTGGCATGTGTTTCTGAACTAGAAAACATGAAAATTATGCCCAGCAATAAATCACAGTTGAGAGGGAGCTGGGAGGGCTCTGTCCTTTCAATCTCTGTGTCTATCAACAGAAGAGGTGCTTGAAAATTGCACCCATCATTTTCTTTTGCAGAGTAATAAACAAATATGTTTTAGCCTGTCGCCTGCAGGGAAATGGTTTTGTAATGGAAGGAGCACTCTGAACTAAATCAACAAACAAGAGAATGGCTGTGTTTGTTTTTCCATGTACTGGAGGTGAGGGCTCAACCATGCTGGAGTTTCTTTCACATCCTCTCTTGACACAGGGCAGAGGACAGGCACAGACACATGCAGAGCTGCACATCTACGTGGAGGCAGCATTGGAACAACAAAACTTTTGGTCTCTATCTTCCCCCCATGCATGTGCCATGCCCTTCCTGTCAGTGGAGTGGGAAACGTGGGTCTCTCAACATGCCTGATGCTGTCCCTCTGGCTATATTTTCATGAATGTTTTAAGCCAGCACTTGTCACTGACATGGGAGCTGCCTGAGTTCTCACTGCCCCTGACTACTTGCTTCCTCCCCTCAGCTCTTGTGCAATCATACTGAAGTGCATCGGTGAGTGCAGCTGGACCACAACCAACCGAGGATACAAAAAGGATGCATTTTTAAAGTCCTGTGCTTCCCCACTCCAGTTCACTCTCTTGCACTGGGAGTGAACCTCGTGTGCCTCTTTTGGCAGTGGTGCTGACTTATTGGGAGAGACATTCATGGCCCTTTGGCCTGGGGCAGGAGATGACCTGGGTGGGGAGGGCCCTGCTGGCCCCAGGGCATTTCTGCCTGCCGGTGTGGGTGGCAGGAGAAAGCAGCAAGTAAACAGAATTAATCAACCAGAAGCTTCCATACTGGTGGAAGTATCTAGTTCACATGCATACATATATTTACGGAAATGCACTTTACTGCAACCAATTTCACATGAGGCAGGTATTTTTGCTTATTGATTATGAATCCAGAGCCACCTGTGCAGTCTTTTCCATGCTACATATGCTTTGTTGGTACTTGTGCCCAGCACAGGTTCAGGCTAAGCATTAAGTTGGGAAAAGAGA